GTTCTTCAGATGAGATGATCTTGAGACTCTTAAAGTGGGTTTTGCCCACAAAAGCTCATGATACCACACATGTATTTTTGCTAGTCTCTAAGGGTGTGTCTAGACTACATGGCTCCGTTGACAGAGCCATGTAAAGTAGTTTACTCGACATAGTCAATGAAATGGGGATTTAAATAATCCCCGCTTCATTACAATAAAAATAGCGGCCGCGCGGTGCCGCCAATCAGCTGATCCAGCACAGCACGGCAGTCTAGATACGGCGCGGTCAACAAGGGAAGCCTTTGTCGACTGCTCCGGTATGCCACATGAAACGAGGTTTACCGGAGCAGTTGACAAAGGCTTCCCTTGTCGACCACGCTGCATCTAGACTACCACGCTGTGCCAGATCAGCTGGTTATTGGCACAGCGTGGCGGCCATTTTTATTTTAATTAAGCGGGGATTATTTACATCCCCGTTTCATTGACTATGTCGAGTAAACTACTTTACGTGGCTCCGTTGACGGAGCTGTGTAGTCTAGACACACCCTAAGGTACCACAGGACTACTCGTTTTTTTAAAAGTTGTTTTTAAAGTTAGACAAACAGCTACCCCTCTGAGACTCTTGTTCTTGTGTAATGAGAGTAAATGGAAGGGTCTGGTATGTTTTCTGAATATTTTGTTTTGTATGTTTTTGATCACATTCCCTTCTTGTAATTTGATTGCTGCAGACAGCCCCAAATATTCAGTCTTATACATACAGAATTCTCTCCACACATCTCTATTCATTTTCTTATCTGTCTCTGACAGTCTTTTCTATGGCACGGTAGGTGATCGGAACTAAACACAGTATTCCTGGTGAGTGAATGCCCTTTACTTAAATAATGACTTAATATTTTCAGCATTTTTTCCTCTCCTTATGGAGCCTAACATTTTGTTTTGTTTTTTTATTGCAGCTGCATGTTGAGCAAAATTTTCCCTTGAGGTGGTCACAATGACACACAGGTCATTATCGTGAGTTATTATAGATGAACCGCTTTTCTAGATCATTAATACATATTATAGAACACCAGCTGAAAACCAGGACATGGTAGCATCCCACTGTAAACCTTTTCCCATGACAAAAATTGATGACTTATCCCTACTCTATATTCTGTCTCTTAGGCAGTCTCTAATTCATTGGCCCATATATAACATGATGAATCACAGAGGAGGCTGACGTTTGTAATGCCTCTTTTTTTAGTGAAGACTAAAGTTTAAAAAAAAGTTAATTGCACCTGGTCACAATTAATATTAACAATACAGGGAACAGTTTCTTGTGACAGAATAGGGACAGAGCAGATTAAAGACTACTTTTGCCATTTCTGTAAGGACAGCACTGCAGTGGCTCAGCTGTACCAAGATAGCTGCACTGCTACAGTATGACCGGTGATGATGCTCTATGCCAGCTATGAACAACCTAGGCTTATGAGTGGCCCTCCTCCATCTCAGTGGGCCGTAAATTTGTCGTAACCAAGGCAGTCTTTCGGGTTAGGGTAGTTTTTCTAACTGCGCTTGAGTACGTAGAAATTGCGGGGTATGTTGCTTGCACTGTAGCAGCACTGGTCAATTTTTGCATTACATAGCTGGTAGACTCTAGGGGTGTGTCTAGACTACATGGCTCCATCAACAGAACCATGTAAATTAGTGCATTCGGCATAGTCAAAGAAGCGGGGATTTAAATAATCCTTGCTTCATTAAAATAAACATGGCCGCCTCACTGTGCCAACGATCAGCCGATCCGACACAGCGTGGCAGTCTAGACGCGGATCTGTCAGCTGGGGAAGCCTTTGCTGACCGATCCTGTAAACCTCGTTTCACGAAGCATAAGGGATCAGTCGGCAAAGGTTTCCCCAGCTGACAGATCCGCGTCTAGACTGCCGTGCTTTGTCGGATCAGCTGATTGTTGGCACAGCGCAGTGGCCATATTTATTTTAATGAAGCGGGGATTATTTAAATCCCCGCTTCTTTGACTATCAATTACACTAATTTACATGGCTCCGTCAACGGAGCCATGTAGTCTAGACACACCCTATATGTAAAGGGACTATAAGGGTTTGACAACACCGGCAGTAACAGCCCTTACATAAGGCCTAAGTAATCACTGGAGCTAGGTAAACCCTTCCTGGTGATTATTTTACAAACAGGAGCATATACTATACACCAAAATAATTCCTATTTAAAGGGTAAAAAATACACATGTCCTTTTTCTGACCTTTATTTTGGTGGATTCATTGCACTTTCTGTTTTTCTGTTGTTTCTGGTAGGAAGAATATTCTGTCTGGCCCCTGCTCTGACAGCATCTGCATCTTGTGGGGTGAGTTGTTTCAAGATTTCAGAAGGAGAGAATATTATCTCATGGCTATTGTATCTTTATATAGGCTCCTATTTGTTTATCTGCTCTGTAAACTCAAACTACCCCCAAGCTTTTCTATATGAAGAGAGATCATAGAATCATAGAATCATAGGACTGGAAGGGACCTCGAGAGGTCATCGAGTCCAGCCCCCCGCCCTCAAGGCAGGATCAAGCTCCGTCTACACCATCCCTGACAGATGTCTATCTAACCTGTTCTTAAATATCTCCAGAGAGGGAGATTCCACCACCTCCCTTGGCAATTTATTCCAATATTTGACCACCCTGACAGTTAGGAATGTTTTCCTAATGTCCAATCTAAACCTCCCCTGCTGCACTTTAAGCCCATTACTCCATGTCCTGTCCTCAGAAACCAAGAGGAACAAATTTTCTCCTTCCTCCTTGTGACACCCTTTTAGATATTTGAAAACCACTATCATGTCCCCCCTTAATCTTCTTTTTTCCAAACTAAACAAGCCCAGTTCATGAAGCCTGGCTTCATAGGCTTCTCTAGACCTTTAATCATTCTTGTCGCTCTTCTCTGTACCCTTTCCAATTTCTCCACATCTTTCTTGAAATGTGGCGCCCAGAACTGGACACAGTACTCCAGCTGAGGCCTAACTAGCGCAGAGTAGAGCGGCAGAATGACTTCACGAGTTTTGCTTACAACACACCTGTTAATACAACCTAGAATCATATTTGCTTTTTTTGCAACAGCATCACACTGTTGACTCATATTCAACTTGTGGTCCACTATGACCCCTAGATCCCTTTCCGCCATGCTCCTTCCTAGACAGTCGCTTCCCATCTTGTATGTATGGAACTGATTGTTCCTTCCTAAGTGGAGCACTTTGCATTTCTCTCTATTAAACCTCATCCTGTTTACCTCCGACCATTTCTCTAACTTGCTAAGGTCATTCTGAATTATGTCCCTATCCTCCAAAGAAGTCGCAACCCCACCCAGTTTGGTATCATCTGCAAACTTAATAAGAGTACTCTCTATCCCAATATCTACATCATTGATGAAGATATTGAACAGTACGGGTCCCAAAACAGACCCTTGAGGAACTCCACTTGTTATCCCTTTCCAGCAGGATTTAGAACCGTTAACAACAACTCTCTGACTACGGTTATCCAGCCAATTATGCACCCACCTTATCGTGGCCCTATCTAAGTTATATTTGCCTAGTTTATCAATAAGAATATCATGCGAGACCGTATCAAATGCCTTACTAAAGTCTAGGTATATGACATCCACCGCTTCTCCCTTATCCACAAGGCTCGTTATCTTATCAAAGAAAGCTATCAGATTAGTTTGGCATGACTTGTTCTTCACAAACCCATGCTGGCTATTCCCTATCACTTTATTACCTTCCAAGTGTTTGCATATGATTTCCTTAATTACCTGCTCCATTATCTTCCCTGGGACAGACGTTAAACTGACCGGTCTATAATTTCCTGGGTTGTTCTTATTCCCCTTTTTATAGATGGGCACAATATTTGCCCTTTTCCAGTCTTCTGGAATCTCCCCTGTCTGCCATGATTTTTCAAAGATCATAGCTAAAGGCTCAGATACCTCCTCTATCAGCTCCTTGAGTATCCTGGGATGCATTTCATCAGGACCTGGTGACTTGCTGACATCTAACTTTCCTAAGTGATTTTTAACTTGTTCTTTGTGTATCCTATCTTCTAAACTTACCCTCTCTCTGCTTGTATTCACTACGTTAGGTCAGATAAGAGAGACTGACAGAGAAGATGACAAAGTGGAGAGAAAAAATTATGAATTAGCTAGAAGACAGACTAGGAACTTCTAGTTAATTTTTATCCTAGCAAAAAGTAAAATGTCATTTAAAAGGGAATGTACTTAAAATCTAAAGCAAATGCTTAACACATATGAGAATATTGGTACCTTTTTTTTAAAGCACCTCAATGACTTAGGATCCAATATCCCCATTTTCAAATGTAACTTAGGCATTTGGGAGCCTGAGTTTTTTGGAAAGAAATGGGATTTAGGAACATAAGGGTCAGATTTTGAGAGATTTAGGAGCCTAAACTTACGCTAAAGTCAAGTCACTTTTGAAGTGGGGACATTCTAATGCTTAGGTGCCTTGAAATTTTTACAACTCCCCCCCCCCATCTTTTATACACACACACACACAAACACACACTTACTGACTTTGTATCTAGTCATTATTCACACAGGTGTCTGTACCTGCCTTCTGTTTCTAGTTCATAGTTGTTGACAGAGTCAAGTGAGGACATTTCATTGATTTACAAAGGCATTATGCTTTCCAGCTCATCCCTTGTACCTTAAAAAAATTGCTACTTTTGAACACGGTAGCATGTGTATGCCATTGGAGCTTTTCAGTCTCCTCCATTCTTGACTATCCCCCAAAATACTGTAAAATTTTCCACTTTGTTCCAGATCAATATATTAAACTCTTCTTCTAGCATGATGAAAATTGGCTTTTACTTCCCTGTCTGTGTTTTTTCCTTCATAAGTGATAGTTTGCCTTTTCCCCCTGACTATTCCCTTTGACCCTTACTCTGTTACTAACAACTTGTACTGACAGCAGCATGCATTCAGCATTCCAAAAGCTCTCCGTGAAACAATGATCTAAGAACACAGAAATGAAGTTTCACAGCTTTATTGACAGGTGCTGGTGTTCATACTCTAGCAGGCTGCTTCCGTCTTGGGAGGTCATTGCTAGGGTTTTGATGGAAGGATTGTTTTAATTTTGGTTTGGTTTTTATGCCATTTTGGTGAGCAGAAATTGGAGACGATGGTTGATGAGTTTTCAAATTTCAGAGTCAAGGAGAACAGGAAACCATCTGGAGTTTAATAGCTCCTCCTCCTCCTCCTCCTCCCTCTCCTCCTCCTCCTCCTTCTGCTTGACCGATATCTACGACCTAAAGAGAAGTTAAACTAGTTGTTACTTGTGTGTCCAGTTTTTGTTAGATGCAATATCATTTTTTTCTGATTTGTCCAAGAAATAAATTATATATTACAATAATGTAGTGACTTTATTACTATACAAGTAAAATACCCTTATACATTAGACATTTTTATTGTGAAAGCCTTCACCTCTCCTCCTCCTCCTCCTTCTCCCATATCTCTTCCTACGCCGCCTCCTTCTGTATCTTCCTCCGCGACCTCCCCTGGATTGCCTCCAGCGACAGTTCCTGCTTTTGCTCCTGCTGCGTGTGTACCTTGCCATTTCCTGTTATGCTTTTGGCTGGCAAGTATTTGACTGCTGGAGCAGCACCTCTGATGTGAGGCCCACAGCCTGTCTTGGGTGGTAGGTTTCTGAGCTTGTGAGCTGAGCTGGCCCTGTTGGTTGCACATAACGAGGCTGCTCAGTGTGACATAGGATAACCTCACGTACTCACCTGTGATGGGCTACAGTGGGGTTTGCCTTATATGGCTATTCATTTTACTGTGTGTCAACATGACTATAAAAGGTAAAAACTAAACGTTTTGATAGCTATGCCAAGTAAAGTGGTGACATGGGATGTTAGCCCAGAAGTGTTATAGATTTTACTAGTGTGTTATGTTTCTGAATGTGTATATCGGGGTGGGGAACCTCAGGTCCAGAGGCCGGATGCAGCATTTGGGAGCCCACACTGGCATTCCAGTCCCCCTGCACGACTGGAGCACACATAACCTATTAGACTCAACCCTTCTCTAGGCTCTGGTGTGCAAGGGGAATGTGAGGAGTGTCTTTCTTCTCAGCTGGGGGCCACATAGTGAGGGTTTTTTGTTGGGTGGGGGGGTTGCTTCTCACTTGTGTGCGGCCCCCGACTGATTTTTATGTGGGTTGGTAGCCCCCAAGCAGAAAAAGGTTCCCCATCTCTGGTGTATCTCTTTGTGGAGCCCTCACATCTGGTTGAGATTTCTGGTTGCGACTGAAATACAAATATGCATGTAATTAAATCCGTACGGAATTTAGGTGAAATAAACTATATTGGAGATTTGCTTATCTTCTAAAAAGCGCGTGGAGGGAATGGAAGATAATATGCAAGAATGCCTACCTGGTTTTATCCCTTACACCCTTTATCCCTTACACCCAGACTATTTTGAGTTTCACAACGTACTCAAAGGCTAAATCATTTGTTACAAATGATTAATATTGTGTTTGTGTTTTACATAGTCCTGGGTACCAGAGCTAACAGTACGCATTTCTTTAAGATGTCATCTTATAGTGTATATTCAACTAAATAAAGTGATAAGATCCGCAATAGTGATTCTCAGAAATGTAACATTGCTGGTGCTGATGGAACCTAGGATCTGAGAAAGAGACTTGTGTTGGCCATATATAATGGACAGACAGATTTTGATTACGTTCCCTTATGGTCAAATTCATAGGGGAAAGTGCAGTAATTTACACCATCTTCCATCCCTCTCTATACGCAATTGTATCCATTTAGATTTATACTCATGTAAACAGAAGACACCTAAACAAAACCAAGGAGGAAGCAGCCAGCTGTGAAACAATGGCCACCTTATTGTGCACATCACCCTTGAACTCTTGGTTTCATGTGGAAAGTGTTTTGATGTAATTTACACCAAGGGTCTATTTAGAATACGCAGCTATAAGAGACCTCGTTCAGTGCCATTTGGAAAGTTTCCTGTGAAACACTGACTTAGCGATATTCATCACAGTCTGTTACAATCTAACTATTTGATCTCTGAGGATGTTGTTGAACTCCAAACACTCAAGGTGTAGGGCAAAAAAACCCCAGGAAGACCATTTTTTCCCTGTTTGCCTCTCCTC